TTTCTTTGTTTCTTTTTTCACATCGTGTTCTCCGTTTGTCTCCGTGTTCTTCGACGATGCCATCATCCACATGACGACGCTTCTCACCGACGATGGCATCCTCCGCATCAATCTCATCGGCTTTTTCTCTAACTCTTCACCGCATCAAAGTCATCGCCTTCTGCTGTAGCTTCTTCTCCAGAATCTGTGATCTTCGTTCTTCTCCGATTGCATGTCGGCTAAAACTAAATCTAAGCAAAGGTTGTTTCTATTAATCATGTTTTAGTAGATTGGAGTTTTTAATGTTTTTTTTTTCTCAAAACGTTTCAGTTTCTGGGTTTTGAACAGGATATGGGATGATGAGGATTGGATCGATCACACCTGAGACTGTGTTCGATGATGAGGTTCCGATCGATCTTGCATGTTTCTATCTCCACGAATCTGGTAAAGTCTCGACCTGTCTAATAAAACGTTGTTTCTCCTTGTCAGAGTATATGTTGAAAGCGATAACATTTGTGTTATTTTGTTCATTTTAGGTGTGTTTGTTTAATGGTAGTCTTTGTTTTTGTGGATCTTTAAGGCATTTCTCGAGGTAATGATTCATGCTTATTAACTGATTTAGTCGTGTTGGAGGTTTAATTGATTGAGATGAATCTATCATCAGCTCTGGATTGTTTGGTTGCCTATTAACTGATTTAGTCTTGTTGGAGGTTTAATTTATTAAGATGAATCTAATATCATTGTATTAAACATGTTCAAACTCGTTCATGACCTCCTTTTAGTGTTTTGCTTTTAAGACTGATCAGTTTCACCAAGATCAAAACAAAGCCATGTAATAAAACTGATTTGTCTCATTTTTTTTTGGATGTCTTGTACTTATAATCTTCATTCTCTTTATTGTAAATTTATTTATGTGTTGATTGTTTTGCAAGTATTCTCTTCGTGTTGAGGGGGCTGTGGCACAAGCAAAGACATCTATTAAACTCCAACCACCACCAGAGACTATCGTTGAGGTAATTGCACAACTTAACTTTAACTAAAGTCTATTTCTATTAAGTAGGTTGATTGTCTGGAAAGTAGTTGATAGATGGTTTAATGCTGGTTTAAGTGTTGAGTCCGCGTGTGATGAAAGTAGTTGATAGATAGATGGTTTAATGCTTGTTTAAGTGTTGTATTAGAAGTGTTTGGTAGGTAATAAATATTGTAGATTCATGTCAACTCATGTATTAACCATGGCATCTTCTTCTCCTCTATTAAATCCGAAGCATTTCTTTTGTAGATTCATATCACCTATTTGTCTTGTAACACATTCCTTTTTTATTCTCTCTTTTTCGAAATTTGGCTTGGATTCTAGTAATCCATATAACGATAACTCCAATTTTGTTGACCTCCTTAGTCAACAAGGTTGTGTCTTTCCTCAACCCTTTCCTTATGATGGGTTTTCACAGGGTGGGGAGGTCGGATCATCAGAAGTCCCTCTCTATAGTACTCAGTGTACTGACACTAGCGTCATCGGTGAAGACACACCATCAGAGCGCAAAGAAAGAAAGAAATGGACGGTCACCAAGGATGTAGTGCTTATTAGCGCTTGGTTGAACACCAGCAAGGACCATGTTGTAGGCAACGAGCAAAGAGCTGTGGCTTTCTGGAAGCGTATAGCTGCTTACGTTGCAGCCAGTCCAAAGGTTCATGGTGGTGTTGGCCGAGAGTTGATCCAATGCAAGCAAAGGTGGCAGAAGATAAACGATGGTGTTTCCAAGTTCTGTGGATCATATGAGGCTGCAACAAGACGGAGGACAAGTTGAATGAATGACAGTAATGTGCTTTCAATAGCACACACGATCTACGAGGGTGATCACAAGGCCAAATTTCATCTGCAACATGCGTGGGAGGAGCTGCGGTATGACCAAAAATGGTGTGAATTATCTAGTAGTAAAAAGAGAAAGTGTGACGATGGTGCTCAGTCCTCGAGCTCTTACGCAACTACCAATGATAGTGAGTCACGTCCTCCTGGTGTTAAGGCAGCCAAACGAGGAAGTGGTAAGAGAACCGATGAAGCACTCAAGTATCTCGCTGAGTTTCAGAGCTTGTGGACAATTAAGGAGAAGGATTTGGAAGTGAAAGAGAGAGTGTCCAAGAGAGGGCTGCTTGAGGCTCTCATTGCCAAAAAAGACTCATTATCTGACTGTGAAGAAGCTTTAAAAAATAAGCTTCTTCTCGAAATGTTATAAGTATTGGTAGTATTTTATTTTCATGTGTTTTACTCTCATGTGTTTTATTATTCTCATGTACTTATTTTTCTCATGTTTTGTGGTTATCACTGGGTGGAGCATTGCAAGTGGTCCTCTGGTCTTGTGTCACAGACGTATTCAGGAAAGCAGAGGTGGTTTGTTGTTTTCTTGTGTCAGACTTGTATTCACGGAAGTTGTTTTTTTGTTGTTGGTTTGTTGTGTCACGGATGTTGCTTTTGGTAGTCACGGGTGTTGCTTTTCCTTGTTGGTTTGTTGTTTTCTAGTCTCACTGTCTTTAAAAAGAGATAGACTCTCTTTCTTGTAATGAAATTCAAGTACTCTATTTTATCTTAAGCATTTCGTCTGGCAGTGTTCATCGAAATATCATCCTCTCTTTCTCAAACATTCATCTTGAATTTCATAAACATTCTTCTTAAATAAGACTCAACCTCAGAAGGGTGATTAACAAAACATACCAAGGTGTGATCGAAGGTAAGTCCCTTATACTGACCAAGTTTTATAAAATATGAAGCTTAGTTTTGTAGATTTTATAACAAAATTTCATAACTTATGAGGCTTAATTCCATAACTTATATACTTATAAATATTGACCAAATTTCATAAAAAATTGTCTGGTTTGAATTGGTTTAGTTGTTTTCAATAACTAAAAAACACACTTGAAGATGTTCTATAATTTAATAAATACCAAAAATGTTTGAATAATGAATTTCAGCAAGTATAATGATTTTAAGTACAACATTCTAGCAAGTATAATGATTTTAAACATGTTCTTATAAGCAATATATCTAGTTCTCCAGTACATAACGATTGATAAGTATATATGAGTTAATATCAGTTTAAATTGTTTTCACCAAAATTTAAAACCAAGATCATACTAATAAAAAATCAAAACTATATATAGAATTCAGAACCAAAATTTTGTATAATAATCATTTATCAAGTATTGCGCTAGAACCCATCTTTTCCTCCTTATGGATTCATTATGCATTCATGCTTGATATTTTTTAAAAGATACTTAAATTTTTATTGATGCAGGTAACCATGGCATCTTCTTCTCGTAATAATCCTGATGATTTTGATCAATTTTTTGATCAATATTTTGATCAACGTTTTGATCAAGCGCTCGATAGTCTTGTCATTGCTTATGGTGGTCAAGAAGAGGAGAGGCCGGAAAGAAAAAAAACGTGTTTATATCGAAAGAAACCATGAAGCAGGCGATATACGTTTGTGGAATGACTATTTCAGTGAAACTCCAACGTATCCTGAAAATTTGTTCAGACGACGTTTTAGAATGAACAGGCGATTGTTCGTACACATTGCTGATCGACTCTCCAACGAAGTGCATTTCTTTCGCCAACAGACAGATGGTCTTGGAAGGCTTGGGCTCTCTACACTCCAAAAGTGTACCGCAGCTATTCGTGTCTTGGCATATGGGAGTGCGGTCGACGAATACCTTCGACTAGCTGAAAGTACAACTCGGGTATGTGTGGAAAAGTTTGTGGAAAGAATAATACATGTATTCGGTGATGAGTACCTAAGAAGACCAACACCCACAGATCTTCAACGTCTACTTCATATTGGTGAGCATCGTGGATTTTCCGGGATGATAGGAAGCATCGACTGTATGCATTGGGAGTGGAAGAATTGTCCCACCGCTTGGAAAGGTCAATACAGTCATGGTTCGGGTAAACCAACAATCGTTTTAGAGGCGGTAGCTTCATACGATCTCTGGATATGGCATGCATTTTTTGGACCTCCAGGTACCTTAAATGATATTAATGTGCTTGATCACTCACCCGTTTTTGATGACATAATAAACGGTCAAGCTCCGCAAGTCACTTACTCCGTCAATGGAAGAGAGTATCATATGGCTTACTATCTCACCGATGGCATTTATCTGAAATGGGCAACTTTTATCCAATCAATTCCACTACCACAAGAGCCGAAAGCAGTTTTATTTGCTCAAAGACAAGAAGCCGTCAGAAAAGATGTCGAGCGTGCTTTTGGAGTCTTACAAGCTCGCTTTGCAATTGTTAAAAATCCAGCACTTTTTTGGGATAAAGTCAAGGTTGGAAAGATTATGAGAGCATGCATCATACTCCATAATATGATCGTAGAAGACGAACGAGATGGATACACTCAATTTGATGTTTCAGAGTTTCAACAAGCCGAGGCCAATGGAACTTCACAAGTGGATCTCACGTATTCTAACGATATCCCTTCAAATATGGGCAATATGATGGGTGCTCGGACTACAATTCGTGATAGAAAAATGCATCAACAACTCAAAGCTGATTTAATTGAACATTTATGGAATAAATTTGGAGATGTTCAAGGCAACAACTAAGCTCGGATGTTTCTTTCAAATTTTTCTTGTTTCTTTTATTAATCCTTGTTTTTATGTTTTAATTTTAAAATGTATGTGTAAAATGTAAACTTTATTATGTTTTGTTTAATAAATAAATTTTAGCTAATTTTTTTTTTTAAAAGAAACCCAAATTAAGAAACCGCCATTGGAGGCGTAAAATCGGAGAGTTTCTTAACGAGATTTCTTACACCACTAAAGTACAATTATATTATTAACTAATGTTAAAGAAACCCAAATTTGTTTCTTGCATTAAGGGTGCTCTAAGAGCACCATTATCCTAGGGATTTAGAGAGTTGCTTAAGCAAATTATGGGTTAAAAATAAATAAAAAAGGCTAATAATTAGATGGGCCGACGCTTAATTAGGGGAAGAAGGGGACGGTTGCCAAGACACGTGTAGGCAAAACAAGAGGAGAGAGAGGGAGAGACACATTCGTGGTGTTTGGTTCTGCTGCTGTCTTTTTTTTTCAAAATGCTCTCGAAATCTCTAAAAGACGAAGCGATTGTGTGTCTCTCTCTCCGTGATTCCTTGATCTTCACCGATAATCCATGGATCGTCGACAGCTCCGGCGAGTGTATCTCTATCTCTCTATCTCCTCTTTCTTTCGAAATCTTGTTGTTTATTTCAATCATCTTTCAATTCAGCTTTCATATTAGAGCACATCTAGCTTGTTGATCTTGTTTAGGTTATTCGTATCAATGGACCTTGCTGTTTAGTTCTGTATGCAAATTACTTGAAGAATGGAAGAGTCATGCACTGAACAAGGGAACGATGTTCAGTTTTTGGTTATTCATGTGTGCATAATTTTATGATGGTCCATTTATACAAATATTTTTGCAGGTTTGCAATGAAATTGTAAAGGAGAATGTTTATAATGGTTTGAGTAATTGAGATTTTTTTTTTGGACAAAATTGAGATTGTTTAGAATCCATTTTGTTTCCAACATATTACGATGGAGTTGAATGTGTAAGAAGCCATGGAAGGCACTGCGAAGGTTAAGAACACAAGAGAATTATAGTTTATAGGAGCGTCACGTATAGAGTAAGTATAGAGTAACTGATGAACCATTGACTTTAGTGATTCTCCTCTTAAGTATAGAGTAACTGATGATTCTCTTGTAAAGCTAACACGCCGCTCAAGGCAATCTTCAGTGTTTGAATCTGGGAGGGTGTGTTAGTATCACTGATGATGACTTGATGCAAGTTCTTGCAAGCAATCCACGTCTCACAAAGGTTAGTTTTTGCTAACAAGAATAGGCTTGACCATGTAGATATTATCTTGTCATATTGTTATGTGTTTGCTGGATAAAGTTATTTTTTGAAGGCGCCTTTGAGAACTTGTTGCTATGCAGAGGCTTCTACAAGTTACAATTAGTTACAGAGTCTTTTACAGTTTTGAATAATGTAACGGATACATATTTAGATGCTCTGATTCTGATTGTTTGTGCAATTGTGTCTGAGTTTTCAACTCTAACTTTACATGTTCTTTGCTTCTAATTTTTATACTAACACGAACGAATCTCTTAACTGTTTTTGTTGCAGCTGAGTGTATCAGGTTGTCATAGACTAAGCACAGTAGGATTATTGTCCATTTTAAGGGACTTGAGATCTTCAAACCAATTTGGAGTCAAAATCCTCATCACTGGTGGGGCGTTATATTTCACAAAGGAGCAATTTAAGGAACTGAACTTACTACTTGGAGTTGATGCTAAAGCGGGTCCAAACAGTTACAAGAGTTGCTTTGAAGTGAAAAACGCATGACTTTACGTTGGAAGAAAGGTTATGGAAAGCATCAAACAAAGTCGATGAGGAGAGCTGCGTTAGGAGGACGAAGGAAACATAACATTCCTTTGGTTTCATGTGTTTATTTAAAAATTTATGTTTAAAATGTTATCTTTGATTATGTTTTATGTAATATAATTATATTTTATGTAATATATTAGTTTTAAGTTTTATAAAAAAATATTAAAAAAATTTAAGCAACCTAAAATAAGAGACTTGCAATGAAAGAGTCAAAAACTCAAATTGCTTACTTAAGTCCCTAACCAACATTAACTTCTTAAATACTATTAAAACTAGGATTAAACCCGCGCCTTGCGCGGGATGAGATGATTAAATTTGTTGTATTTTTGAAGATAAGAAGACATTATATCTGTTTTATTTGCATATTAGTTTGTTTTCGATTGGTTGTTTCGGGTTTTAATATCGTCCAATTATATATCTATATTATAAATATTTTCTTTTTCGTTAAATTGCGATTTTGATTTTATGGTGATAACACAAAGAACAAAATTAATTACGAATTTTTTTTGGGAGAGCCCTCACTATGGTAAGTCTCTATGTTAAAGAAGATGAGAAAACTAATATAAATAAAATAAACTCAATTCCATTATAATAAAGATGCATAATCTCTTTCTTCCAAAAACAAATAATGGTCTAAATATAAATAAGTATTATATAAAAATAACTTCAATCAATAATCAGATAAAATAACTTCAAAACTTCAGAAATCGATGATTGGAATCCTGCAAAGACATGAATTTCAATATATGAGGAAGAAAAAAGTTTTTAGTGTATATACTACACAACTTTATAAAACTAATTAGATAAAATAACTTCAAAAACTAATTAGATAAAATAATGGTCTAAATATAAATAAGTATTATATAAAAATAACTTCAATCAATAATTAGATAAAATAACTTCAAAACTTCAGAAATCGATGATTGGAATCCTGCAAAGACATGAATTTCAATATATGAGGAAGAAAAAAGTTTTTAGTGTATATACTACACAACTTTATAAAACTAACTAAGTATAATATGCATACTGTGATTTGAAGAACTGAATCTCTAGGATGTCAGTATCAAACAGAATTTCAAAAACACCTTTCATGTTTGTAACATAAGTGAGACCACCTATAAAGTAATATCAACAATAAGTATAGAAACCAGACATTTCTGAATAGCAAAGAGTCAAAATAAATATAGATTACCTGCTTTCCATTCAATGCAAGTTCATCCTTTGGCAATCTGTAAAAGTCAAAACAACAAAATTATAGAAGTTTCAGACATTGATAATGAAAGCTAATTAGAAATTAATCCGAACTATAAAAAGTGAGTAAACTTACAATGACGCAAAGGCAGCCACTTCAGCCATAAGTGGATTCAGTTCAACGTCTGAAACGTTATACGCATTAGACACACTACGCTCGTCTGCAGTTGAAAAATGGACTGGCAAGGGATCAGCGAAGACGATTAAAAATCTAAGATTCAATACTGAAACAAATGAATAATAGGAATGAGCTTAAATACCTTTCCAAACTTTAATTTTCCCAAACCTCACTACACAAATGATTGAATTCTCACCACGTTCTTCAATGCCATCACTTATATCAGTTGCAAAGGTACCCCACAACACCAGAGGCAGACGTTCATCCCTAAAATAATATACAAACATGTATATCTTAGATCATTGTCATCACGTCTGCTATCATGAATAATCATACAATATAAAGAGAGCCATACTTTTCATTACGAAGCTCCACCGTAAGTTTATGAGTTTCTTTACCATTAGCTGATACAACTTCAATAGGAGTCACCTCAACAATCTGACCTATGACATCTGAGACAAAAGATATGAGTTATATCATCTGATTATACATTCGTATATTAAATGAAAGCACTGGAATTATGTTACTTACCAACCAAATAGTCCGTACTGAGTGTACCATCAAGAATGTCCCTGTAGTTAACTGGTTCAAAACCAGTTAGAGCATTGGGAAAATCATCACAATTCCTCACGCGTGTTGTCGACAGAAAACCAATTCTGTATGGTTGTTCGGTACGATCCACAAGAAGGGTTTAGTGAAAAGTTGATGAGAATCTTTGAACTTCCTTGTGAAAGGAATGAATCGAACTGATTAACCAGATCTTTTTTCACAGTAGCATTAATTTTAACACCCTACAAAAAGCAACAAATATAGTCAACAATTATACAGGTTCATTAAACATACTAAATATTACTAACGTGAATAGTAAAGGATGCTTACGTTCTCATCGATTAGAACCATCTCAATTGTTTCTCCACCGGCTGCAGAATACTGCTTCCACAAACGAATGATCTTTACCCTAATCTTCGACATAGACTTAAACGGTTTCAAATCTGACACAGCAGTAAACGCAACCATTAAAGAAAGATGAGTGAACAATAACTGGGTTTTCGTTTAGGTTATGAATCCTAATGATGAGAACAACGTTTATTATATAGGGGATAATAAACCTAATGGACTTGGACCACAAGATAATTAAATGTAAAGATCCTCGCCTTGGTGAGTAATTTACTTTGTCCAGAAGAATGTCAATATTGCCATAAACCAAACTTTTTAAATAAAAGAAAATATCCTATCGTCATTAATAAACCTTGCCAAACACTCATATACTGCAAACCGGCCAAGAAAACATTAACCGTTTCAATTCAAAGAAGAGTAGTCGAAACCAACGGTTCTACCCGAGTAGTCGGTTCGAAATAAGAGAAGTCCAAACCAAATGGTTTAACCAAATAAAAAAAAGGAGTTCTCAGTATAAACAAACTACATCAAATACATATTCTGAAGTTCATGCTATGTACAAGAAAATTGCATTTTATATATTTCCAGTAAAGATAAGTCAAATAGGTTTCTTTGTGAAGAAGAAGATCGTTAGTGACCATGCTTTCTCGTAAATATGAATATCGTTAGGGACCATGTACAATCATGGACGTGAATATGCAAATAAGTAGTTGTATATACTAATAATATTTTTTGGTTAATTCTTCTTTATTTTACGGCTGTCTTAAACATGCAGAGTATCAGTATAACCCGAAAGAGAAGGTCGGACTAGACCATGCAATCAAGCTTTCGGGGCTGATAAGTTCAATATAAGCGGGTCAGGGAAAATGTGGGAATGATAGTTTATCAACTGATACTTCTTCAGCTCTTACATCAAAAGCTGAATTCTCAGATATGTCAAACTTGGAAAGAAATAGCATGACGGCATGGACACTACAGTCTACATAAGAAATTAACTCGATAAGTTGTCTTGTGAATTCTTTCTAATTAAAGTATTTCGTGTGTTTTTAAAATGTAGCGTTTTGGCAACTTCTGAAAAGTTGATAGAAACGCAGTTTTTTGGTGTTGCGTTATCCCCTATATATTAAATAGGTAATGCCTCAACATATGTTAGAAAATTATGAGCTATTAAATGGAAAAGACGAAAAAGTAATACTCCAATTAAAGATCATGAAGAAAACATTATTCCGGTTGATAAACGTTTTTTAATACGTATAAATTTTGTCTCATATATCTGTTTTTTTTTGTCATCCACACGACATGGACACACGTAAGATGAAAGTATATTACTGTGAACACCATTAAGAGTATTGAGACAATCCCAAATCTCCTTTTAGTCTCGAGATGGGTTGCGAAAAAGACTCATTTTGAGAAGCAAATTCTCGACTTGTATAACGAAATCTCTAATCTCAAAAGCCTTAAACCTTTCACATATATATGTCGACAATTTGTTCAATAGCTCATGTTCACGTCCTTGCCTATGGATACAAGTGGTTCGAAGAACCACAAGTCGAAGAAAGCTAGCTTCCTAGCTTTTTCGACAGTGTTTATATATATGAAAATAGCTTGTGCCCAAAAGTCCAAAACTACAGAACCAATCTCACCAACCTACGTAGTGAAGATATAGAGTTTTCAGAGCACCACTACTATACGGCCTTGGGATCTCTCGAAGACAACACACTTCACCATTTAGATCTACCCTCAGTACACTAACTACCTCAAACTTAGCAAGGTTGAGTTCAATCTCTTCACGCTACACACGAGCCATGTCCAAACCAAGATCGCGTTCATGGGCTCCGGTACGTTGCTTCACATCCATCATCTTAGATACGTCCCACCTCCCAAATAACGACGTTCCAGAACTTTGACATCGACCCTCAAGCAAATTCACCTGCCTCCGAACTTGTCTCACGCGATATTGAACTTTGTAGTTTTAAAGTATCTCGTGTGTTTTATAATTGAAGTAAATAAGGTAAACAATTGTTGAAGTAAATAAGGTAATAAATTGTGAGAAGGTAGTAAATAAGGTAATAAATTGTGAGAAGGTAGTAAATAAGGTAACAAATTGTGAGAAGGTGGTGTGAAAACATTTAATGCAAAATGCTTCTCTTTTAATATATAAAGGATATAATTAAGCAACCTAATATTGATCCCTAGGATAATGGTGCTCTAACGATCTTGTTAAGGACCCTGTTAAAGTTTGATTATTATCTTTAATTTCAACCATCCAAGTTGAATAATTAACGGGTTCATAGATTATAGAAGATTCCCATACTCTGCCAAACAAATCCAAAAATGTACTTTACGTAGAAAATATCTTCTTCTTTTGCAATGAAAGTCAATCAACACGAATAAGACTAGGTATGAATAGAGCGTGAGACAGAGTCGTTCATTAATTTAGTTTGTGTTCAAGAAAACTTTTAAAAATAAAAAAACATTGCAACAAGAGGGAAAAAGGATTTGCAACTTGCTTGTTTGTATTTCTTTTTGTCGTTAACTTACTTAACTCGTACGGGTAGACCATTCTCAACAAAGAAAAACGAGGATCAAATTTTCTATCTGTTCACGGGGAGTCAAAAAAGTCAAACATCTGGAAGAGAAGCTTTTTCTGCTCTTCACATGTCAAAATTAAATTAAAACATATAAACCGAGAATAAGAATAGTGTTTCCGTTACGTAATGTTAATATGTCATGCAACGTGTGAAGATGATGAGCCGCCAACACAGCAACACACGCTTTGTCTTATATTTCCTCTTACTTTGAATGATCCAACCAACTTCTTTAGAAAACCACGAATCTTTGTACGGACGCATCATTTTCACATTGCTCAACCAACATGTAACCTGCATTACGTTTAACTTCATAGATTTTTTTTTTTTTGATTGTTGTCGCAGTTAATGAGCTTCATATATATACGGTTTTACTTTCTTGATAACAAATGATTATCTAATTAATAGTTTGAAGAAATTGGAGTAGGGTGATTAAATCGTGTGAGTAATACTAGTATTTAGGCCTGGGCATTCGAATATTCGGTTCGGTTCCGGATAGGAACCATTCGGTTCCGGATAGGAACCATTCGGTTCCGGGTATATCGGATAAATCATTCTTATATCCAATAGGTACTTATGAGATTTCGGTTCGGTTTCGGTTCGGTTCTAGTTCGGTTTCGGTTCGGTTCCGGATACCCATTTAATATATAAATCAAATATATATAAACAAAATATATTAGTTAATATGTTAATTTAAATCGTGTAGTGTTTACACGCTTACATAATAGTCAATCCAACAAGAGTTTGAATTAATAAAGTGTTAATTTTATAAATATTTATCATATTTTAATATAGAAATACCATATATATTTATAATATAACATAATAAATAAAACATAACGTAATCTGGTGGTAAAAATGTAATTACTTTTTGTATCTAACATGGATTCAAGTGGCCTTGATGTCATTTTATCTTATTTAAAAAAAATTAACTTGTTTTTTCGGATATTCGGGTACCCGTTCGGTTCTCGGTTCGGTTCTGGTTCCAGTTCGGTTTTTCGGGTATAGAAATATAGGAACCATTCGGATATTTAAGTATTTCGGTCCGGTTTCGGTTTCGGGTATTTCGGTTCGGTTCCGGTTCGGTTTTTCGGTTCCGGTTTTTTTGCCCAGGCCTACTAGTATTAGTGCGATCGAACATTGATATATCATTTATGCTTCGCTAATATCGTAAATGGAAATTGTAAATCCGCCGAAGATTAATAAAAGTGCATGTACACATAAACTAATGCACATATAATTGTGTGCACATTGCTTTGTGACCGTCCATTACTCGTCGAATCAACAAAACAAAAAAGACTGCCATTAAAGCCATCTAAGTGTTGTTTTTTTTTTAAAAGAATCAAATATAAAATGTTCATTAAGCAATCTTAATTTTAATTACTCAATACGGTCTGGTCTCATGTGAAAACTGGCGTTCACAGCATGTGACGGTCACGTCTCCAGTCTCAAACCCACGCGTCAGTAACCCACGTCGTCCGCTCACCAACTTTTACTCCTTCATCTTCTCTATATATAAATCCAACTAAACTTCATATTCGCTCTCTTTTATTTCTAAAAATCTCACCAGTTTCAAACTTTGTTTCCCCACAAAAATTCCCCACACGACAACGAAATCAAAACTCTTTAAAGAAAAAAGAAACCCCACAACAACTCCATTTATAGCTTTCTTCATTTCTTTGTCTAATTAAAGAAAATATGGTTATAGCTGCAGAAACTCATCACCGGAGACTCAATTTCGCCGCCTACTTAAGCACCGATCTAGCCACCGACGATGAAGAACAGATTCATGGTGATGATGTCATCAACCCCACTAGTACCAGCATCAACAACAACCAACAACATCAAACCAAAACTAGCGGCGATTCGTCTCCAAACCAGGTCCCATCTCCATGGAATCAGACTTACTCTCCGTACTACACCGACACAACAACAACAACAACACCAACGATGTCTCCCTCTCCATGGAACCAGACTTACTCTCCTTATTACCAGTCTCCTTGGATCCACCAAACCGGAAACATAGATAATGATTCAGACAACGGTTTGATCGGTACGATCGTGAGGCAAGAAGGTCATGTCTACTCCTTAGCTGCTTCTGGAGATCTTCTATACACCGGATCCGATTCAAAAAACATTCGTGTCTGGAAAGATCTCAAGGACTTCGCCGGTTTTAAATCAACAAGTGGTTCAGTCAAAGCAATTGTAATAACCGGAAATAACCGGATTTTCACCGGTCATCAAGACGGTAAAATCCGAATCTGGAGAGGTTCTAAGAAAAGAACCGGAGTATATTCACGAATCGGGAGCTTACCGAGTAGGAAAGAGTTTCTAACCAAATCGGTTAACCCGAAGAACTACGTCGAGGTACGTCGCCATAAAAACGTTCTGAAGATACGTCACTACGACGCCGTTTCGTGTCTAAGCTTAAACGAAGAACTCGGTTTACTCTACTCCGGTTCGTGGGACAAAACTCTCAAAGTCTGGAGACTCTCCGACTCCAAATGCCTAGAATCAATTCAAGCTCACGACGACGCCGTCAACACCGTCGCCGCCGGATTCGACGACTTGCTATTCACCGGATCCGCCGACGGGACTTTAAAAGTGTGGAAACGCGAGCTTAAAGGGAAGGGGACGAAGCATTTTCTAGTAAACGTGTTGATGACGCAAGAGAACGCTGTGACGGCGTTAGCTGTTAATTTAACGGCGCGTGTTGTTTACTGTGGAAGTTCAGACGGTTCCGTTAATTTTTGGGAAGGGAAGAAATATCTTTCTCACGGCGGGATTCTCCGTGGTCACCGTATGGCGGTGCTCTGCCTCGCCGCAGCCGGGAGTCTGGTGCTGAGCGGCGGAGCGGATAAGAATATTTGTGTGTGGAGGAGGAACGGCGATGGGACGCATTCGTGTCTCTCGGTGTTGATGGATCATGTGGGACCCGTCAAGTGTTTAACGGCTGTGGAAGAGGCGGAGGGAGATGGAGATGGGAGATGGATAGTGTACAGTGGAAGCTTGGATAAATCGGTGAAGGTGTGGCGCGTGACGGAGACGGCGTCACCGTTGATTGGCTGAGAGATGTCTCGAGGAGGAGAAGAGGTTACGCGGCGTTTTAGCGCGTGGGATGAGACTACGGGGAAAAAGAATGTTCCGCGGGATATGTGGTTCTTGTCTTTGTGGTCAAGACGAGTTTTATGGCCGGCAAAAGGAAACAGATCTTACGACCAATAGTAGACTGCCACGTCATGAAGTATCTAAAAGGTTTAGAATGTTTTTTTTTTCTATTTTATTCGATGCTTCAATGTAAACTGCACATATTTGAATTACGTTTGATAAAGAAACATAAGCGGTGGGAATGATTCTGCTATGTTCAGAAAAGGGCACTAACCCGTATATTATTTGATTTATTTCATTGTTTTAATATCAAAGTTATCTATATTATTAAAGTTGAAATGCATTTTGGAGATGTTTGGAAACAAGTATAGTATTCTAAATGAAATCTGTTTAGAAACATGAATAGTAGTATTACATTAGTTGTATTTTCATATTTCAGTTAGTTTAATAATATTATTAATTATATTACCTTAACGATAATACACATCATTAATTATATTACCATTATAATAATAGTATGTATTTTATTTATTAGTTAATCAATATAGATTTTGTGCCAGTTATAAAATCAAAAATGTCAATAACTAAGTTTTATATATGGTTAAATGTTCGATTTAGTAAAAAAATTTATTTTAGTTCAATCGCGGTAGAAAATAACGTAACCAAAAATATTATTCAAAGTCATGTTTATATTAATAAAATAATAACTTAAATAAAAAATAAAAATACATTACATTTATTATCACTTAATTTTTTATTTTATATAATTATTTTACTAAATAAACAGTCTTTTTATCAGTTTATAAAATAAGTTAGGCATTAACATCTATACTACTAAAGCACAATAGTTCTTATGAATATGGCTATGACTTTTTCAATTAATTACAAATATTATATGTACCTTTTTGCCAGCAGCATTTGCAACCAATAAAAGTCATTATTTTGCAATTACACTAAAGAGTATTTAATAAATAATTTAATTCTTAGCCTTTTTAAAATTTTTGTTTCTTAAATATTTGCAACATATCTTTCCAAAAAATCTTTTACGTTATTAATTATTTGAATGCATTTATTAAATGATACTTCAAAATAAAATCAAGTTGAAATAATAAATGATTAAATCAACAAAATTACAATGCGGGTCTAAATTATCTCAACTTTTTAAGAATAGTTTCATTTAAAATAAAAACTAAATCACATAAACTAAATTTAATAAAACTATAGAAAATGTTTTGAAACGCAAAAGTTTAGTTATATTTAAAATAACAAAAATAAATCATATAAGTAAATTTAAGATAAATTTCATAAAAAATAAAATATATAATTTATCAAAAATCATAATTTTTATTTTGTAAAATAATTTTTCAACAAAAAATATATCCGCCCTTAAAAAGGACGGGTCAAAATCTAGTTTATATTTATATGAATACGTTCAAAATGCAAAATTGGTTCATTTAAATTAATATTGTAAAAGATAAATTTGGAAATTTAGACCTGTAATGTGTACGTTAAGTTGATTTGTTAGTTTTCTTTGTTGACTAAGATTTACCTGTTGAAAAATGAGGTGTAAACTTTTATTGGGTTTCTTCGTGAATCTATGCCAAATGTCTCACTAGGCGATCATAGGATGTAAATCAAATAAGTTACAAATGTATATTGACATACAAATAACTAAGCCAGGAATTATATACGTCCATCTACTGCTCATCTTCTTATTTAGTCCTACGTGGACAGTCTCGTTACTCTAGAATAAGAGATTTTAATAGTGTATGATATGATTTGAATATTGTAGGATGTGTAAGATACGTGTATATCCTATATATGGAGGGGAGGCATAATGTTTCTTTAGCTTCTGCATCTAGTAATGGTGTCCGTTTAATATATACGTGCACACCTTTTGTTCCCAATCTCTTTTTGCTTTTTGCTTTTTGCTTTCAGTATTAACTATATTCTCAAGTAGCTTTGGGTTTGTTGGTCTTCAGAATATTGGTTATTTGTTGATGAGAAATAAACATTTAAGTAAGAGTCAAATGTTAAACCATCTTATTTGGATGATTAGTTTTGAAATATTTAAAAAATGTATTTTACAAAATCTGTTTTTGTTTAAAAGTTCCATCAAATCGTTCTGCAAAATCTTTAAAACCTACTAACTCCTACCAAATCTAAAACCCACAATATTTTCTCAAACCCCAAATTCAATAAGTCCTCTTAGTCTTTTTGTTCCAATATTTAGTTTTTATAATTTGGATAAAACACTGGGAGAAAGAGACAAAAACACTCAAGTACGAGATTTATGTTGGTATGTCTCCTTTGACTTTTGAACATTTCTCTAAAATTGTTAGTTTGACATCTCAGTGTCGTTGTATTGTTGCAGATAATTCCAAGTATAGGCTCACTCGCGAAACATCATTTGTAAGAGAGCATACAAGATCTGGCAAGACCATCTGATAGTATGTGCAAATAGAGCAATCGAACATTGTCCTAAATATAAAAATAAAAATAAGGAAAAAATAAGGAAAATTATTTTTATTTTTTTAAAATATAGATAAATTATGTTAAAAACTTTAAAAGTTTAGATATATTGTTAGATATACATATATTCTACTTCTCCTACTAACATAATTTGACTCTTCTTACATTGCATTCCGGTCTTGTGGACATCTGTGATTATTTTCTTTCTTTTGAACTTCCAAGGCTTCAAGATATTACATGTTGGAAGTGCATTGCCGAAGACTCTTAATCTTAAATACAAATACAAGGTTCTTTATTCACAATGTTTTGATCAACTTGTTCTTGTTTTGCAGATAGCGTAAGAATCAACTTCAGAGATACGAACACATTATCTGATAAATTTATCATACACCATTCTTGTTCTTTTTAGGAGGGTTGTGCCTTTGCAGCTACATCACACGTCTTCCTTACTCTTGTCAGTCAGGTAACGTTCCTTTGTTCGTAAATCATAAGGCATTTTAGGTGGAAAATTTAAACCAATAAATCTGTGTAATACATATGGGTAGTGTGAGCCCTAAAGCATCTTCTCTGTTTCAAAGCCCGGAAACAATGAATCGTGATGATAGAGATTAAGGCTGGGCAAATAAACCTAATTTAAAAATCCGAATCAAATCCGATCCGATAAAAACGAATCCAAACCGATCCGAAACCGACATAAATACCTAATAGATCTTGTTTTATTGTATTTCGGGTTATGTGTAATATCGGAACCGAACCCGAAACTAAATGGATATCTGATAGAACCCGAAACATTCAAAATCGCCAAAAACTTATACCAAACATGTTCTCAATTTCTAATATATATCCAAACTATTTTAAGATGTTATTGAACATCTAAAATATTTATTTATTACATGAAAATTGATGGTTGAAGATGGCGGTTGAAATTTGAAGTTTTTCGATTTTGGTTAGTTTTTATTGAATAATGTTTCTCATTTTTTTAAGAATTTGATTTTCGTTTTATAATTTTGTTTATTTGGTTTTCTCTCAAGCAAATGACTAAGTTTACCTTTCGTTTGATTTTGGATAATCACATTTAATGTTCTTTTCTTATTTTTGAATCAATTTTACTTAATGTTTTGGTTACAAACACTACAAGAAAGGAGGACACTTCCCGACGGAAATTCCGACGGAGGGCACGGCCGTAGGAATATACCGACGACATTCCGACGGTTTGCCGACGAAGATGGTAACCAATATTTAGTTTATATCCAAACTTCCACGAGCTTTTTACAAAATTTGGATAAAACATTTTTGGTTAGATCCTTTCATTTCATAGAGATGATTTTTTTTTTAATATTAAAATTGGTTACAAAAAGAAAAAAAGAACACGCCTAGGTAAGGAAAATACTAATTTGTATACAACATCACAAGTAAATTACACTGTATAAGTAAGCAAGTTTTTATTTTGGAAATCCAAACCAAAATCTCTGGAGCATCATGTATATTGTTATTTTAGACATCAAACAATGGTCAACCATGATTGAAATCATATATGAAGAATTCTTATCATGGTCCTTCAACCCCCAAGATGAGTCTTTCAGCCAACTGACTAAACTTATCCAGTTTTGGCTAACAAATTTGATCATATGAGCATGCTCTATAACTTTAGGATAAAACTAGTATGTGCTAACCTAAAGCCAAAAGAAAAAAAATTAAGGATTCAGTTTACAATGGACGTGATGTTAATTATGCTTCTCCCACGTTGTTAGGCTAAGCTCCACTAGGTTCTTGTCCATTTGACTTCAAATTTGTTTAAGAAGATTTAAACTTATATTCTTGAGTATTTCATTATTTAAAAATATTTTCAGAGTCATATGGCAGACTATTAATGGATCTTTTAATACATAAACTTTAATTTTCTATTTCAGTATCATATAAAATAATAAAATACATGGATGGAATAAAGTGTATACACGATCACGATTCAGAGTCGAATGAGTTTACGCTCACGATTAACTCAGCATCTAGGCTCCTAGCTCCAACTAGAACTGATTATTAAAGGATTTATAATATTGTGATAATACAGAAACATGTTGTTTAAGTAAACGTAACCGACCTTAGCTCAGTTGGTAGAGCGGAAGACTGTAGTAGTTGCAGATAATCTTTAGGTCGCTGGTTCGATTCCGGCAGGTCGGAATTTTTATTTTAAAACCTATTTTGGGGATTTTATGCCAGCTAAAATCTCTTTTTTTTTTATTTCTAAACAAAACCCAAAATCTTTTTCTTTATAATCCGTTGGCCAGCCTATTCGGATATTTTGTGAACCACTACAATAATTCAAAGAGTACAAAACTACAAACACTGTTCCTCACTTGCGTTTATGGTAGAGAAACCACCTGTCGGAACTAGACAACGGCAAGCAAGATCTCCGAGCTCAATAATTAATCGCAATGGGAGAAGGCCACTTGTCGTTTCGCCGTCTTACTAGCATCCGCCACCGAAAGAAACGCACTGCGAGGAAAGATGAAGCAGAGACAAGCCTCATCTCGTCGTCTCCACCGCCTCCTCCTACGCCGATCACTCCAGCTGCGGTTGTTTCGAAGGCGAAGAAGAAAGCTGGAGGAACAAGGCTGTGGATGAGGTTTGATCGGACTGGAGCAATGGAAGTAGTGGAATGCGACAAGAGTACCATCATCAAACGTGCCTCTGTTCCAGCTAGAGATCTCAGGATTCTTGGCCCTGTCTTCTCTCACTCTTCCAACATTCTTGGTAACGTTCTTGATTTGCCCATATATAGAAAGGTTGACAGTAATGAATAACATTTATCTTTTCCTCTGTGCAGCGAGGGAGAAAGCTATTGTTGTGAACTTAGAAGTCATAAAGCTAATAGTTACCGCTGAAGAAGTGCTTCTCTTGGATCCTCTCCGTCCTGAAGTTCTCCCATTCGTCGAACGACTCAAGCAACAGTTTCCTCAGAGTACTGATGTTTCTGAAAACGTTTTGCAATCCTCTGTTCTTCTTGATCAAGAAACTGGAGAGGGTTTGCAGAGTGAGCTTCCTTTTGAGTTCCAGGTTCTTGAGATTGCGCTCGAGGTCATCTGCTCGCTGCTCGATACTAGCGTTGATGCACTTGAGACAGAAGCTTGGCCTGTACTTGATGAACTAACCAAGAATGTCAGCACTGAGAATCTTGAGTACGTTCGAAGCTTGAAGAGTAACCTCACTCGCTTGCTAGCCCGTGTACAAAAGGTTTGAACCTCTTATCATGATACTATACAATGTTTGTTTTGATGCAGAGGAACCTAAAACTTCCAAACAAAATTCATCTCACCTCTCCGAAATAATGTTATTTTAACATAATTGAATCTTGGGTTGATGGAATGATTGGGTTATTTTTTTTGGGTCGGACTAATGTAAGGAGCCGAAATTGACTCTGATATCATGTTAGATTTCTGAAGTTTTAATTTAAAACTAAAAATTGACTATAAGCGAATTAATGCAAATCTCATGTATATTACATAGTTTTCTTTTATATTTACTTAATGCAATTCGACGGAATTGAGCTTTTTTTTAGGTTGATAACTTAATGAGATGAACATATCATTTTTCAGTCAAATTATTCTGATACTACTATATTAAATTTTATGAACTTCTAACTTAAAATTAACTGAAGATAAAAGAATTAGTCTCTAAATCCATTATATATATTATTTAACTCATTTTTATATTTTGGATGTGAGATTTTTTCTCCAACAAGTGATGTAGGTGAGAGATGAAATCGAACATTTGTTAGATGACAACGAAGACATGGCAGACTTATACTTAACAAGGAAATGGATCCAGCAGAGCCAGCAATCCGAAGCAGACCTTGGAGAGACATCATCATATCTTCTTAGCCGGGTCACATCAAACAAAAGCTCCAGTATGGTGACGAGCAGTACCAAGGACAACGACAACGTGGAGGATCTAGAGATGTTGCTGGAAGCATACTTCATGCAACTGGAGGGAATGAGAAACAGGATTCTTACCGTGAGAGAGTACATTGACGACACAGAAGACTACGTGAACATACAACTTGATAACCAACGTAACGAAATGATCCAGCTGCAACTTACGCTGACCATAGCCTCGTTTGCGATCACTGCAAACACATTGTTGGTAAGTTTGTTCGGAATGAACATACCAATGCCATTGTATAAGATGGATGATGTCTTTGGTTACTTTCTGTCGAGTGTTACTGCGGTTTGTGTTGTGCTATTCTTGCTCACCCTTGGTTACGCCTGGTGGAAGAGGCTGCTTGGCTCGTAATAATCACTCTTTCTCACTTTGTGTAATCAGAACCCATTGTCACTTGTTTAATACATATTTGATGTAATTAGGCTTGCTTCATTATTTCTTGATTATTTATGCTAATGATAGCTTCACTATATATATCAACGAACTAAATAACAGTACAAAAGAGAAACTTGTAAAAGCACCATTATTGGTTAGAAATACTCAAATACAATATTAATACGTATATTTAATTATATTAAATTTCAAACGACAAACACTTCTCATTTTTCAATCTATTTCTTCCTTTTTCATTTTGAACATTTTGATATACTATTTAGTAAAAACGGGTGCTCTTAAAAAAGAAAATATTTACAGGAAAAAATAGTTTCTTTTAAACACTAAGAAAAAATAGTTTTTTTTTTTTGGGTAGGATGCAGGGGAAAAACGATCCCCTACTTTTATTCATGAATCAAAAATAAACTAAAGGCAAATCTGCCTAGGTCTCGCAACCGCGTTCAAATCATCCGACAAAATCTGAGCAACATGCTCCGGAACAGCCTCAAAGTAATGCAAACCAAATTGTAAAGAAAACGCATAGTTAGCTAACCCATCTGCCAGACGATTAGTCTCCCTATACACATGAGAAAACTTGACTATCCACTCTCTTGATGTAAAGCCATAGCACAGACGTACTAGGAAGGACAGGGGATGAGAATCATGAATCCCTGTCTTAAGAAAACCTACCACACTTTCCAAATCGACCTCCACTTCCAGCCTTCGAATACCATTAGCCCATGCTATATACATGCCATAGTATACACCCCACAACTCAGCCAATGGAGCCGAACAAATACCAATGTTTAGTGCAAAACCCCCTATCCATCTTCCATATTCATTCCGTAGCACTCCACCTGCCGTAGCTAGACCCGGGTTACCTCTAGAAGCTCCATCACTATTGAGTTTGATCCACCCGTTCTCCGGTCTATACCAGAGGACTTGCCTCTCCACGCGAACACCAATGACTAGGTGCTCTCAAAGTTTCTTATTCGCTTGTATCACCTCCTGAGCTTTATCTTTAACAAATCTAACTCTGTCTCTGCACTTCCCTATTTCCCCAAAGACGTACCCGCCACACTAAGAAAAAATAGTTTAAAACTCTATATTTTCATCTATATTTGCTTTTAAATGCCTTTTCCAAATTGTAACAAGGGTTATCTTTAATTATTGTGGTTTGTCATACCTAACTTTGGTAACATTAATAATCTTTTACCTAATCAAGACTTCTTTTTGAATGGTGAAAACCTTTTTTGACAGTCTTGGGAACTAGAAATATTTAAAGTAGATTGTCTTGTCACTTGTCAGATACATAATATCACAACATCACGACAAGTAACTTTAGTCCTTCTCGGTTTCTCCTTTTATTGGCTTTAACTCTCCACTCTTCTTCTCTCTTTGAGAAAGTAAAATAATAAGAAGGGAGGAAAAATGGTTACCACCCGGCAAACGAAGGCCAGAATCACCACAGCCTCTCACCGCCAGCCACAATCAGAGCCAGATTCTTCAGTAAAGAAGTTCTTCAAGGTGGTTTTACCCTCAACAATGAAGAGAAGCATGATGGTAATAGATAAATCACTTGTAGAACAGAGTTTCATGCATATGTTGTTATTGGTTCGATTTTTTTTTTTTGTTGCTTTAAACTTCTTGGGATTATATCAGCAGATTTGTTAGTCAAGTCTACATTCTTTTCTGCATTATATTGGATTAGAGATCTAAAAAGAAATACTAAGATTTAGAAACTGTTCTTAAGACATGCAGAGAATCCAAGATCTAACATTTTGTTACTTCTTGTCTGAACAGATGATTCCACCAAGATTTGTGAAGCTACAAGGGTCTACACTCTCCGAGGTTGTTACACTAGAGACTCCTGTGGGATTCAAGCGTTCTATAACACTTAAACGGATCGGTGAAGAGATTTGGTTACAGGACGGTTGGGGTGAGTTTGCAGAGGCTCATTCCATCAGTGAAGGCCATTTTCTCTTCTTCGACTACAAAGGAAACTCATGTTTCAGTGTAATGATCTTCAATGTCTCGGCTTGCGAGATTGATTATCCACTGGATGAAGTTCATATCAGTGACAGCGACGATGACGTCATGGACGTTACAGAGGAAGAGTTTCTTGGGACTCAAGGTACAAGGAGAAATGATCAATCTGTTAATGGTGGTGGTTCAGAGCATAACCCCAAGAAGAGACCAAGAGACGAGGAGTTTGATAAGATTCTAAACGGTAAGAACAGACTTTGTCCTTATTAGTATGAGGATTAAGGATAAATATTCTTTATGTTTGTGCAGATGTTGATGAGATCAATTCAATCAAACTGCTTGAGGACGAAGACGAAGGCAAGAGAGTCTTCAGGGGACAACAGTTCTTTTAACAGAACAGAAACACCTGCATGTGTTTATGTTGTGTAATGTAATGCATTGTACTTAATGAACTCAACAACTTAGTTTCTGATTATGTCTAAACAAAGCTGTAACCAGGTCTTGTTTTGATTCTTTTTTCTTTCATCTCATTCCTCAACTTCTCTACCTCTACCCATTTCCCTTTAGAAGCTAACACATTAGACAACGCAACATAATCTTCGCATTCAGAGCCCTTCTCCTCTTGTTCCATCTCCATAAGAGCTTTTCCTATCTCTTCACCCATTACAGTCTCTCCATAGACGCTGCAGGCATTGCAAAGACTTCTCAAAATGATAGAATCAGGTTTGATCGGCATAGCTAATACAAACTCGTACGCTTCTTGTAACCGCCCTGCTTTACCAAGAAGATCTACAATGCATCCGTAGTGTTGAATAACCGGAGTAACACCAAACCTTGTCCACATGCTCTGAAACAACTCCAGCCCTTCTTGAACAAGACCTATATGACGGTAAGCTGAAAGCAAACTAGTGAAAGTTACTACGTTTGGTTTGATCCCAGACTCCGCCATTCGGTTTAAAAGACTCGGTGTTTCGTTTCCTCTTCCGTTGAGAGCTAGCCCCGTTGCCATTGAAGTCCATGTTAAGACATTCTTCACTCTCATTACCTCGAACACAGAGATAGCACTGTTTAAACAGCCGCATTTTGAGTACATGTCTACAAGTCCAGTACCAATAAAGACATCAACTTCGGGTATAAACCCAAGTTTCTCTATGTAACCATGAACAAGAGCACCAACTTCGAGCAAACCCATCTGAGAGATAGCTGAAAGAACACAAACCATAGTCGTATCAGTAGGTCTAACTCCATCACCACAACAACAAAATCTCCTAAACAAAACCATCCCTTTCCTCGCATTATGATTCCCTTTATCCTTACGCGAACAATACCCTCCAATCATCCCGTTCCAAGTAACCGAAGTTTTCTCAGGCATTTCATCGAACACCTTCCTCGCATAACGGAAATCCCCATGCTTACCGTAGAAATGGAGTAAAGTGGTTCCAATCAATTCAGAGTTATAGAGAAACCCAAGCTTTATCACCATCCCATGAACAATCCTCCCAACACGCAACGAAGAAGCTGACCTGGCGCAAGCGCCGAGGAGGAAGACGAACGTGCGCTCGTTGAGATAAAGCAACGAACTTTTTGATACCCAGCTGGTGAAAATTCGGATAGAGTCTTCTGGGTTGCTGCATTTAAGCAATGTGTTGAAGAGGAACTTGTCGGGATGACGAAATCGAGGGAACACGAGTGAATGAGAAAGCTTGGAGCTTTCTGGAGATGGGTTCGAACAGTAATGGCCTATGAGTTTGCCGAGGAGAGAATTGTCTTGGCAGCCATGGATCACGAGTTGGGCATGGATTTGCTTAGCCTGAGCTAGGGTTTTTGTGTTTCGGTGTAACAAGGACAGGAATCTTGGTCCAGGGAAAACCGAGCTCATACGCGCCAACTCTGTTTCTGGAAGTTAGGCATGGATGGATGTTTGGATTTGGGTTTAACCTTGTAGTCCAATTTATGTTTTAAATCAACTCGGTAAATCCCGGTTAACTCATTTAGGATTGGTTGATAATATTTTGGTTTTACATTTTTTTATATTTTTATCACAATTAATATAAAATTAGATATTTAAATTATTTTGGAATAGTCGACATAAAATATTATTTTATAATATTATTTTGAATATTCAGAATTGCTTTCTCGAAATTCTCAGATTTATCAAGTTTTCTCGAGTATTCATCTAAATATGGATCAATTTCGGATAATAGCTATAACCTAAAATCATTTGTCCAAAAAAAAAAAAAAAGCTATAACCTAAAATCCTTTACTACACAACTAATTCAAATAGTCTATAAATTGGATAGACATTCAAGTTTTTTTTTGTTTTGATCAGATTCAGTTACAAATGTTCAACTCAGTAAAAATTATAATGCTCATGAAAGAGAAAAAATCGAAGAATCAACACACAACAAACTAATCTCCATCAATCAACTTTCTTGGGGCACAAGTATCTAACAAAGTTGATGGAGATTAGGTATTTACAAACTTCTTAAGCCTAACAATTTTGAGTTGCACTTGCACTCAAGAGATTATATAAAACAATCAGAAACTCCGAGAACACACTGACGCAATGACACAGATATAGAAAGAGAGTTTAGCTGTTTTAAATTAAGACACCCTACACGAAATTGCAGTTTGATATCTCCACCACTGCAGATCAATCAGTGACACCATAGTAACCTACTACAGAGAGTGATATCTGTTTCATACATACTCGTTGACTCGATAGGCCGTCACTTTCAGAACGAAGTCTCTGGCTCTGAGCAGCTCGAACACGCAGACGTCACCTTCTCCAAGGTTGTTCTCCAGAGTGAACTCATACCACCCTTGGCTGAATTTGGCTCTCCCTGCTTTGTAAAGGCATCTCACTGGCCACTGTTTCTCCCCGAGCTGGACCTTGATGAATCCTGAGATCCCACTTAAGTACTTCTCAGCAAAACCAGAAGGCAGATACTGCTCACGGAAACACACAACCAAATATAAAACTTCTTTAGAGACCATTGTGCTGTATAATGATCTTGATTTTGAGATGTTGTTTTATTGGCTTTACCATGATGCAACCTCTGTATAGATAAGATGGTCGGAGAACAACTCTAAAGAAAGGGTTTGTTGGCTCGAACGTTTTAGCTGCATTGATGGCCCTCTCTCTTTCTTCTGCAGTCACCGTTCTCTTTCTCGCAGAAGCACTCTCGTAGAACTTTGCACGGCTCTCCGCGTCATCATCCCGCGGAGCAGATGAGTTTATTTCCTCTGGAAGAACCATATCAAAAGGACAAGAGTTCAATCTGAGTTTGAATGGCTCAAAAGGAGAAAAAAGCTTACCAGGAGGAACAGCGTTCTTCTTCTTCCTCCCTCTCTTTTTCGCAACTTTAGGAGTTGGTGTTGGTGTTGGTGTTGTCTCTTCAGCTTTAACAGGTCCTGCGAAGAAGCTCTGGATAGCTGAACTAGCAAACCCTTTATTACCTGGTGCAGTACCTTCAGGATGCTGTGTTGATGGATACACTGAAGAAGGAAAAACAACCTCTGCGGCGTCTTCATCTTCAAGGTCTTCAAACAAACGGGCGCGTTTCAAATGGTTGTGTGGAGTGTCCATGAGAGCAGGGGAATGGTAGTTGATCTCGGAGTGTGATAAGTTGTAAATGTAGACGCTGAAGGCAGAGTTGCCTTCGTATCTAAAAATCAAAAGGTAGCCAATGCGGATTGAGTAACGGTCAACAAACTCTTGCCAACCATCTTGAAACCAGATTTTGTTGTTGTCGGATTTTCTTAGTCCTACACGCCAGACGTGACCATCAGGTACTGTGAGTGCTACTGCAACGGAAAGCTCGTCCTTGAATTTACTCACAAACTTATCTGGGACTCTCTGCACAAAAGCATACCACAATGATACAAAACAAAAGATTAAATTAATATTAATTCACAAACTTTGATGGGTGCAGGCAGTAAGTGATGACTAATCACTGTATCATAAAAATGTACTTTTATTCTTCTACACACAACAACAACACTTTTGACTTACGGATACAAGCAATGAATCTTGTAACATAGACATAAAAAGATACCTTATAAGAAAAAAGAAAATTATTTTTCACTTCTCAGATTTGGAGTTTCACTCACAAGAGGAATCTAAAATCTCAGACATTTTTATGAGTTAAACTGAGAGGAGAGAGTCAAAATAGAGTGAACAAAACAGAGAAACCATAAACAAATCTCTTTAACTTTCTTTCCTCGGAAATTGCATCAATCTGACAAACATGTTACCAGAAGTCAACTCACTTGAAACACATTTCTAAAACTACACTCACTTCGCTGTTAGACTATCCAAAAATTCTAGACCGAATGTAAATTTCTCCTACTTCATTTTTTTTTCTAAGCAAACAAAAAAATGAACATGAAAGATACTGACTTGCAGTCTTCAGATTCGAAATCTAATAAGTTCCCATTTAGATTAATTAAGACAACACAAAGCTTACAAAATAAATAATAATAATCTTCTGAGTCACTGTTTCAGTTCCCAACAGTGGGAAAAATTCAACCTTGACCTGATTTCTAACTGAGAATCAAGACAATTCAATTCACGAAATCTAAGAAATGCATACAATAATCAAAACGCATCAAACTCGAGACCAGATTTTAGCATTGAAAATTCTCAATTTAGTACCAAGAAAAAAACTTTGAAACCCAAAATAAATAGAAGAGGAGAAAGGAGTTACCAGACGTTTTTCTTGGATAGTGGATGAGAAAATCAGCTTGTGGAAGAAAGGGCGTGGCATGTTGAGAAGAAACAGTGACCAAGTGAAGGAAAAAAAATAAAAGAGGAGAAGAGGACCAAAGTCAGATCATGAAACGACGCCGGAGAATACGGGCAGACAGAGACTGATAGAAGCCCTTTCAGATCTGTGAAGAGAGTTTTGTATAAAAGCTTTGATTATGGTCAAAGGGGGTGTTTACAAGTTACAACACACTCTCTCTCTCTCTCTCTCTCTCTCTCTCTCTCTCTCTCTCTCTCTTCTCCTTTACACCTGACCCGAGTGACCCCAACCAAATAAAAACCCAAAAAAAAATTGATGTAAAAGAAACAATGTTATTAAAAAACAACAACTTGTATAGCTTTCGAGTGAGTTAAATCTGTGTTTTGTCCTTTGACTCGGTGAGTCGAATCGGTTGATCACTCGTGTGGTTCTCTTTATCTAAAGTTTAAACTAATCAAAAGCCGACCTCCCCCCCCCACCTACTCTTCTTTCTCCACCTATTTTTTTTATTTTTGTTTTTTTAATATTTGTTTCTTTTTTCTTTTTTAAACTATTCTTTTCCTTTTTTGTAGCACAAATAGTTTTCTCCCCTTTATCAATTTCAGAGAAATATATTATGAACAAAAAGAATTGATATTCAATTTTCCCTGTTTGCGAGAAAATAAATATTATTATAAAAAATATATCAAAACAGAAAACCTTGTCAACTATAATCTACTCCCTCCGTTTCATAATAAGTGTCGTTGTAGAGAAAAATTTTCGTCACAAAATAAGTGTCGTTTTCGGTTTTCAAGGCAAAATTTATTAACTTTATTATGTAATTTATTTTTTTATTGGTTGAAATATGGTTAGGTGTATGGGTAATTGTGTTTTTATATAGAAAATATGCAAAATTAATTGTTTCCTTAATCCGTGTGCACGAGCTTAAAGTGACACTTATTTTGAAACAGAGGGAGTATAAGACAATAGACATAGACAGGTCGAGAGGAAATAAAATGGTTATGAAAGAGAAAAATCTTCATTAGAGCTCATGCAACTACACTAACATGCATTAATGGAAACAAAAGTTAACATTTTTTCTTGATTTCAACTTTCAACTGATGAATACACTACAAGAAAACAGGCGGATAGTGACGGACAAAATCGTCAGAAAGTCGTCGGAATAGGCATATTTTGACGAAATTCTGACGAACTAGTTCGTCGGTATCATTTCGTCGGAAAAAACTAATTCGTCGGAATTTCGTCGGACAGTCCGACGACTTTCTGACGAACAACGAGAAACCATATTCCGACGAACTTTTGACGAAACTCCGATAACAACTTCCGAGGGCAGGATTCATCGGAATCATTATTTCCGACGAACTCAGTTCGTCAAAATATAGTGACGATATCGGTCGTCACAATATACCGACGAACACAATTCGTCACAATATTCCGACGACTACGTTCGTCACAATATTCCGACGAACATTTCCGACGAACAAACATCGTCACAATATACCGATGAACCGGCCTCGTCAGTATATTCCGACGACTTACGTTCGTCGGTATATTGTGACGAACTTATGTCGTCGGAATATACATTTTTTGTATTTTTTTTTAATTTTAAATATTTTTTTAAAATTTAAAATTAATTTAAATAAACAAAATCTGAAATTTAAAACTAATAATATTATAAAATATAAATTCATACAAACGTAAATAAAAAAAAAACATTGATAAAGTTTAAAAAGCACAAAGTTTTAAAACTCAGTAGGAAACAAGCGTTCTAGCTTTTCCATTATCTGAGCGTTGGTCTTCTTTTGGGATTCCAGCTCGGCAATGATAGTGGTGTTCTGCTCCTCCAATGCCATAATCCGTTCATCTTTGTTCTGTAGTTGCTCCAGAATCATGGGATCGGTATACGAAGCTTGCGAAGAAGACCCCGGACCCNCCAGCTCGGCAATGATAGTGGTGTTCTGCTCCTCCAATGCCATAATCCGTTCATCTTTGTTCTGTAGTTGCTCCAGAATCATGGGATCGGTATACGAAGCTTGCGAAGAAGACCCCGGACCCGAAGAAGAACGACGAGCCAACCCAACTAAACGACCTCCTTTCCTTTTAGGAACCGCCTACAAAAATATTTAAAGTTAATAAGTTAACAACATTATAAAATAAATATATTAATTAAAATTACCTTTTCAACCATATCATTGATTTGCAACCGCAACATGTTGCTTGAAGCTCCCGTAGAATCGCCGTCATCAGAGAGAGGCTGAGAAGCTAAAAGAGCTTCTTTTTGAGTTTCCACCAACTCAACGACAGATCTGATCACGGGGTCTTGAACTTGACCCGTCTTCTTGTTAGTGTGAGCCTCCTTAATGAGAGTGAGACGATCAACGGGGTTACCGTCATTTGCTTCAATCTAAAAAAACAACCATTAGCCAAGGAATAATATGAAATATTTATTAAATTAAAGAATTAAATAAAAAGAATAGAACTTACAAGTTGATCTTCCTTGGAAGACATAGAGCAAGCGCCGAGGTTGTGCACATACATACCTTGCCCGCCACGATTGCTCTTCCGGTTCTTGGAGTTCTTGCGAGATGTCGTTGCAGTCTCGTCCTTCCTCCAATGGACTATCAACTGCTCCCATACCGTCCCGTTGATGAACCGTGGCCTCTTGTTCTTCTGCCATACCGTCTTCCACGAGTTGATCTGCTTCGTATAAGAGTCCATGGCCTTTTCGTTGAATCTCTGACGGACTGTTTCCGTGAGACCAGACTCCCAAGTGAACTCTTGCTACAAAACACATAAAATTTTATAAGTAGATATATATAAAAATAATTGAAAATGCTTTAAAAAAATTGAAGAGTTACCGCAAACTGACGAAACCACAACTCCCGTTCCTCGTGAGGGATCACACTCCACTTCGGATATCCGGTACGGAGCATGGAATACATCATATTGTTGATGCTCCTACTAATGCCATTGCTCGACTTGGTAAACCTTTAAAAAAATACATGTTAGAAAGTTAATTAATGTTAAAAACATAATTTTACAAATAAAATAAAAATACTGACCAAGTCGTACGTCCCGGCTGTGGGTAGGGATGAAGAACCGGGAGATTCTCTCGACCTGGTTGTTGAACCAATTGTTCAACTGACATGACCGCTGGATCCTGCTCATAAGCTGGAGGGGGGGGGGGGGAACATATGGAGGGGGTCCAACATACGGAGGGGGAGCATATCCGGGAACCGAGTTTTGTTCGGGAGACGATCCCGATGCACGGGAACTACTCACCGAACTACCTCGGCCACCACGGAATGTGGGACGACGGAGCAATGCGGCACGGGGGGGGTGCATCCTCGGACCTAAAAAAAATAATACAATACATTAGAATTCTTTTTCAAAACTTTTTTTAAAAAAAGTTGTTAAATATTTAGAAAAAGTTGTTAAATATTTAGAAAAATTACCAAAACGTTTTATTATATATAATATATTACTGGAAATAACAAAAACGTTTTTAAAAATAAAAAAACGTTTTTAAAAATTAGAAAACATTTTATAAAAAAATTTTAAGTATAGAAAAAGTTGTTAAATATTTAGAAAAATTACCAAAACGTTTTATTATATATAATATATTACTGGAAATAACAAAAACGTTTTTGTTATATATAATATATTACTGAAAATAACTAAAATGTTTTAAAAAATTAAAAATACGTTTTTAAAAGTTAGAAAACGTTTTTAAAAAAATTAAAACAACAATCCTAGCTAATAGATCCTAAAACTCTATCCATTCAATCCTAGAATTTTCAATCAAACAACCTCAAATCCAGATCTAACGTCCTAAATCTAACATCTTACATGATTTGTGGTGGAGAGGAGTCACCGGAGAAGAGAGGCGGTGGAGAGGAGTCGCCGGTGGAGAGAAGAGACGCCGAGAGAAGAGAGAAGAGAGAGGAGAGAGGAGTCGCCGGAGAGGAGAGAAGAGAGAGGAGTGGCCGGAGAAGAGAGAGGAGTCGCCGGTGGAGAGAGGAGTCGCCGGTGGAGAGGATTCGCCGGTGGAGAGAGATTCGCACAGAGAAAAGAGAGTGATGAGGCGGAACTGTCGAGGAAGGAAGAAGAAGTAGGGTTTTTATTTTAATGATTCTGACGGAAAAGGATTCGTCGGAATTTCGTCAGTATATAGTGACGGAATTCCGACGAAATCATTAATTTCACGCGGTTTGCTTCCCGGGTAATGGATTCGTCGGAATTCCGTCACTATATACTGACGGAATTGCGACGACTTAAGGTTTAGGTATTTTTTTATTTGAAAAACTTTAAAAACACTAGTTCGTCAGTATTCCGTCGGTATATAGTGACGGAATACCGACGAACTTGTGTTTTTAATTAAATAAATCACAGTTCGTCGGAATTCCGTCACTATATAGTGACGGAATTCCGACGAACTGTGGGTTTAGGTGTTTCACACAAGTTTCTAAATGCAAAATTCAAATCTTTTCAAAT